TAAGGTGTGTTCAAGCGTAAACAGGTGAATATATCTATAACATATCAATATTTAAGTACACTTAAGTATATTATATAGGCAATTTTCTTATACACGATTAAATTGTCACCAATATACATATGTGTATGAAAGATATGCAAACACTTTCACTCCTTATCAATTTAATTGTAAACGTTACGTCAACCAGAAATTTACCAATTATCAAATATAAATTGAATGAGAGCAGCCAACCATTATGATGACGTTACATTTTCATTGATATTATTACCTTTTTCTGTTTTTTCACAAAGAAATCACTATTTTCAAGGGATACTTTTATACTTTTAACACAATTAATATTTTTGTTTTAAAATTTTTTTATAAAAAAACACACAGGCATGCAGCACTTTACATTTTATTATTATCAGTCCACACTTTCATTAACATTTTTCATGTTCTTTCAATAAAATTGCAGGAGCTCAACAATCACTTGTAATCATTGTAATTATTTAGGAACTTTTAATATATTTTTACACACTTTATATCGATGTTCAATTGCTATTCTTATACATCATTTAATCCCGCGTGAAATATGCGAATTGACTGAGTAAAGCAACCACGGCACGATCCCCCAATATCAATCATTCAATAATTTGTATCGCAAATTACTCACACGGCTAGCTGATAAGCGGCACTAATTTTACAAAAAATAGCACTTCACTTGTCAAGACAAAAAAATAAATAAATAAATAAAACACAAATAAAAACAAAAACAAGCGCTAAGCGAAACCACACCGCTACACCTTGATTCGAAAATGAATTCACAAGGCCCGCACCAACGACTCATACGCGTACCGTAGCATTCTAGGTTCGAGGAGACACTGAACGCGGCTAAGACTCTTTCGCTGCAGGTAAAATTCTCAAACACCTGTCTCGTGCGTTATCAGTTAAAAGTGAGCATTTATTTTGATTTGATTAGGTACACGTGAAGAGCATTTACTTAACGAAGTTGGCATGAAATAAACTTTGAAGGAAATTGATAAGACGTTAGGAAATGTATTTACAATGTATTCGTTTGCAGGTGAATTGCATTCATTGTGATTATTTAAATGCAATTAATTTTTAATCAAGTATCCTCACAATAGTTAATACTTTAAACTATATGCTCATTGATAAATACTACTGTAGAAATACTCAAGTAATTCTCTTTCTATTGTTAAAATTCAAAATTATATTTAAAAGGACTTCTATTAAAGATTAATTAATAATTTTGATTCCCGATAAAGTTTAAATCTTAATAATGAATATATATTTAAATCATTTCAACTGTTATTCATTTCCGTAAAATAATTTTTAATTAATTTAATTAATCAATTTACTTGTCTGTGTAGCTAAAATCCTAAGCATGAGTGATTATTTAAACCATTTCAACCGTTATTAATTTTCGTAAAATCGTTTTTCAATTCGCGTTCATTTAAAAACAACAAATGGACACCACCACTGTCATATATCGACTGTTTTTGGAGGAATTGCAACTCACCTTTTTTCTGTGTAAAACTATAATAAGCAAGTCGAAGAAGACTTATGTATATCAGCAACTGGTTTGTTCAACGTCATTGTAGCAAACCAAAGTTTGATTAATGGATACAAATTGATATTCGGTCCAGGTTTGGTCAGCGCTGCAGTATTGCAACAAACTATTTGTAAATACTCTAAACAGTTCAAAATACAAATGTACATATGTTATAAATTGTACTTCAATATACCAAAAAATTAGCATTTAATGCTTACCTGTACAGGTGGAAGTCAAATCGGCAGGTGATAAATTCATATTCATATCCGCTTATGCGTGTTATTGTACATCCATTAATGTTTTTTCTATCGCTTCTTTGCCTATATTGCTTATCAGCTATATTTCCGTTGAGTTGTCTACATATTAAATTAAACATATTATTTTACACCTACATGTAGCAATATTTAAGTCTTACCAAACATAACAAGCGACAATCGACACTTCCGTTGTCTTCTGGTTCTACATTACCGGAAAAGAATCCCTACAACAACAGCAACAGTAACTTCCGCGTTCTCACCATTGTTTATGTAGCCGGAAAAGACTAAATCATATTAAGAAGTCTGCAAGTGCTGAAGAATCCATGGAAAGTTTTATACATATAGTTCTCACATTTGTAAGCTTGTATGAGTGCTTGTACACATTAGCTTTGGCTTAGATTCATTTTCTTATATTGTTATTCTAAATAAGAATATGATGCAGAAGTTTCTATTTTTCACTAAACTATCAATGACGGTCTGTTGAAAAGACACAATGTCTTCATTTTTGCATAATAAATTAATAATCATTTTGTTAAACCCTTTCAGATGTGAATTAAATTAACAAATGGAAGAAAAAAATGTCGGCAGTCAGCCATTATTAGTAAAAGCAACTAACTTGTCAGAGTATTGCGCGCAATATTTTTAATATAGTTAAGTCATCTTTTTTACAGTGTTATTTTAAGAAGGTAGCAGTGTTTGTCCAGTTAAAACAATACAAAAATCATTTCAATATTGTTTTGAAAAATATAATAAATATAAACCGTTTTTAACGTATTGCAAGCGAAAAAATATTGTGCAATAATATTGCGCCTCGCTCAACCACTATTGGCAATGTCTTTATCACCGTTCTGCTTTATACCATTCGTAAATAGGAAAACTGACAGACGTCAAATATGCATTCACGGCAAACAAGACATGATTTTGTTATTTGCTTTCACGTAAAAAGTGACGATCGAAAATACTTGTAAATCAAGCAGAAAATATCGGGTAAAATGTCTGCGTTCTCTGAAACGGCGCTTCTAAAAAAGCTGGGTGAATTGAATTCTAGTCAGCAAAGTATACAGACGCTATCGCTGTGGTTAATACATCATCGCAAGCACCATGCGTCAATTGTGAAAACTTGGTTGAAAGAGCTACAAACTGGTAAGATATAGTTAACTGATAACAGTGTTATTAACATTGTAATGGTAATTAAAAATATCCACAGCGGTTTCGGAGGGCAAAAAGTTGACATTCATGTATCTGGCCAACGATGTCATACAAAATAGCAAGAAAAAAGGTCCTGAATATGGTAAAGAATTCGCACAAATATTACCCAAAGTTTTTCAACACATCGGTGAATCCTGTACATCGGATAAGCTCTTCGGTAGCCTCGGACGTATTTTGAATATTTGGGAGGAGCGTGGTGTCTACGACACAAAACAAATTACAGAATATCGTGCACGTTTAAATAAAGATCACAAAGATAATAATAATGCAGCAGCAGCCAGTAGCAGCGGCAGCAGTAGTGCTACCCCCACCACTGAGCCAAACACAAACGGTAGTCATGGTAGTGCCACAAAAGAAAAGTCTGAAAAGCGGGAAAAGCGTAAGCATGATGAAAGTAAAACAGCAAAAGTGAAACGTTCGCGACCAACTTCAGCTGCTGAAGAAAAAACAAGTGCTGGTCAAAATGGTGATGCTGAACATTTGAGCCCATATTTGCCACTAGGTGAACCACCAGAGCCGGAAGATTTGATCAAAGCTTTGGCGAATATTGAAAATTCCGCTTCAAGTGATGCCATAGTGCGTGAACGTATTGCCAATTTGCCACCCGAAATATCTGAGATCAGTTGTCTGAGTAAACTGGAAGATAAAGATGCAGCTAAGGCATTGGCTAAACAGGTAAGTTTCATTTCAATTGTTGTTTAATAATTAAAGTGTTAATGTGTTATCTTTTGTCGCAGGTTAATGAAGCTGTACAGTTGCTGAATGAGTATAATACACGCCTCGCTGCCGAAATGGAGGAGCGTACAAAGCTAGCTTCTATGTTGCGAGATTTCCAAGCTGAGCAAAAGGAACTTTTAGTTCAAGCTGAAAAACGGCTAGAGGTGTGTTATATAAGAAATCAGATAATTGTGTTGTTTTGATAAAAGTGTTTGGGGAAGTAGTGAACTTATTGAGTTTGTGTATGAATTATAGTGGTTTTAAATATGAATTTGAATTTGAAAAACCAAAAAAAAAAAAAAAAAATTAAAGAAGATGTGAAGACGTGGTTATGTGTGGATTAAAATATAAAAAAAAGCTATTATATTTTATAAAAGATGTAAAGACTGAACATTTTTGTTTGTGTATTATAGTGACTTAGTTGACAGCCATGATCTGATTCGTTCCGTCTACGTAGACTTATACTGTTGCGTAGACTTCACTGTCGTGGAAACTTTTTATGAAATAATATTCTACATTGCTACGACAATAACAACAACTTTTATTTTGATGATTGTAAAATCTTAAAAAGTGTCGGTGCGGTTTATAACGATACAAATTCTGCCGAGTTGACAGTCCTTGACCGGATAAAACATCCGGAACGGACGGTTACGTAGACCAAAAAAATAAAATCAAATAACGTTCTGATATTTCTGTATGCCTCAAATTGATTTTATAGATTTTTAGAACACTATTATTATAAATAAATGTATGTCACATATTTTCATGAAATTATTTTCTCTTTCAGGAATATAAACAAAAGCTAAATCGAATGGTTGCCGTACAAAAGGAAATTCGGGATCATCTATCGAATTTACCAGATCTAACGCAGTTACCGGATGTGACTGGGGGCCTGGCGCCACTACCATCAGCCGGCGATCTCTTCAACATACATTAATACTTATTATAATTTAAATGGTTTCCTTAAATGTTATGCAAATTTAATTATTCAACTGGTAACTACATACAAATCACTTAAATTATATATATTTAGACCAAAAATTATAAAAAAAAAGAAATATTCTAGAAACTACAAAATGTTGCAAAGTTTCCATTAAAACTTCTCAATTATTAGCGATTAAAGCTTTTGAAATAAAACTCGCTTGATATGGCTGAAATAAGCATACAAACAAGTACATATGTACGTATGTATGTACGTATATATAAAATATATGAGTTTGATTTGAAAGCAAATTTATTTCGTTTATGTTTTTGTTGTGCTGTGTTTGAGCTTCTTTTTATACGTATTATGTGCAGGATAGTATTTAAAGAATATAAGGGGATCTTTCTAGTACACAAAACTACTACTGAATGTTGTTTACAACAATAACACTTTAGTGCATTGCCGCGTTAGCCTGTCCATTCCACTTTTCAACGAATGCAATTATATCAGCTACCTTACTGCCAGGCGACATTTTGAGTGCAACGGTAAATTTGCTCCACACATCACGATTCGCTTGACGACTGGACGATTGATAAGTAACTGGCTGACGTCCACGTACTGGATAAGCACTTAATATGCAAGGTTGTTCGTCCGATCCCAAGGCTGACTCATATAGACCACGATCATCGGTGGGCAGCACCTTGGTTTCGGTAAGCGCAGAATATAGAAAAACTCATTTTATTATAAATAAGTAGAGTGAATGACAAAGTTGTGGGGACGAAAAAGCGCAAAGCACAATTTTAGAAAAATAATAAGAACAAGCAAAAACGTTAACTTGCAACTACACCAAAGTTATAATACCCTTCTTTTTGCGGGGAAAATAATAACACTTATATAAATATTTTTACAAGAAAGCAACAACAGTATAAAACAAATAAAATCATTTTCCAAGAAAGAGACAAATAACTTCTTACCTGATCAACCTGTTGATCCATACTTACAGCCAGCACCCATTCGCGCACCTCCTCATGCAAATTGGGATCGTTCTTCAGATGTAAGTCCTCCGGCAATGGTACTGAGCTGGGAAAATCTGTTGACGCCAAATCGGAGTGATCCACAAGATGTCCGGAACCCTCTTCAATAGCTTCACACACATCCAAGTAGTGATTGAGCATAACAAAAGCTTCAGCTTCACGACCAGCATTACGCAGATCTATGCCTGCCTCATAGAAACCCTTATCCACCGGTATGATATCGGTGTAGCGCAACAAAGCAATCGAAATGCGTGCAGCAATTGGATGCAATGACTGGACGTGTCTACAAGCGGAACGTACCGCATAGTAATGACTAATCAGCAAAAACTTGTCCACATTTTTAGCGATCTGTGTCTGCGCATGCTCCGAGGACTGTAGCGACTTCGTTAGTTTGTAGAGAAAGTCGCGTAAGTTACGCCACTGATCATCCTTGGCCTGTTCCTCGCGCAGGGCAAAGCAATCCATTGCTATGCGTGTGTAGATATTGAAATTTGCCTCCAAAGGCGGTGCGCCATAAGTCAAATAGAGACTCAAGGCGGTCAAACAATCACCTTCGCGTATAAGCTGTGCGGCATAGAGCGCTACATATTTTTGTAAGACCGCTTCATTGATTTGTTTGGCCTTATCGAGGCAGCGTAACCACTGACCCTGCTCGGCGAGCATGTCCAAAGCGCTCATGATGTCTGCATGATGTGAGAATTGAGAAAAATTTTATATTTAAAGTTCGTAATAGATATGCTCACCAATATCTGCCAATTGTTCGACGTTGCCTTCGGTTTTGAGACGTGACTTCTGCTGCTGCTCGACGTAAGTCATTAGTTCGGGATCCAATTCCTTCGCCAGTCGCCTGGCCTTCGACCATTGTTCGGCACGTATGAAAACTTCGACAGCATCTTTGGGCATATCTGCCGCCAAATACAGTTGCGCAGCCGGACCGATTTGTTTGATTTGTAAAAGACGCGGCCCCAATTGAGTTGCTACATCGACAGCGTCCTTACCCTCCAAGAATTGATTGCAGATTTCCGCAGCTCTAACTAGTGCACGCTCCACAGTAGTCGCATCGTCTGTATTTGTGGCGTCAATTTGCATTAGACACTCAGCGGATTTGCGAAACTCTTCACGTTTTGCGAATTCAGCGGCTTTCTGCAGGTAAGAACGCGAAGCATCATTTTGCTCGTTATTACGACGCTGTTCTTGTGCCTGTAGACGCCGCAAATCATTCATGGCCGATGGATAGTGTTCCTCGGCTATGCGTAGCGCCTCGTCGAACATGCCTTCGTTCTTATAATGATCGATTATCATATCCGGACGTTGTGCGCGCAGTAACAGCGCTTCGTAGTCGGGATAGTTGCGCGTATCCAAAGCAGCCGATGCCTGCCCGATTAATATTTCATTTACCGCCTCCGGCAGATGTGACTCAGCTACATTCAGTGCTGCCTTCCAATCGCCCGCATGCGTGTACATCAGTATGGCCTCTTTGGGCTTATTAGCTTTGATGAATTCCGCTTCGGCCTCCTCGAATTTGCCTTCATCCTCCAAAGACATGGCGATTTTCAAATGCACCTCATCGGTGGACTTACCAGCTAAACGACAAAGATCCATAGCGAAGTCGAATTGTCCGGAATCGCAGGCGAAACCCACTGCCGTGTCTAGTAAACCGAGTTTGGTAAGCAAACGTACGGCGCTTTCTATCGGCATAGACTTTGCCCACATGTATGCGACCTGGTTACTTGCGCCTTCAGTACCTTTCTGCTTGGCAACACGATAGCCATCTTCCCAGCGACCAGACGAACAATACATATGCACTGCCGACTTCCAATCGCCCGAAGCAATGAAATGCACTTCGGCAATTTTAAACTTGCCCTTCGACTCAAGCTGCCTAGCCAAATGTAGGTGAGTTGTATCCAAGAGATCTTTGTGAAAACGTTCCACTAGCCGTATCATGGAGTCATAGAGTTCGCGACGCTTGTACATTGCAATCGCCAAATCCGGTTCGGACACAGCCAATAAAACCTTCTCCGCATCGCGATACTTACCTAAGATGATACAAATTTTAAATTGTTTCTGGATAAAACTAATATCACATCTACAATTACCTTGTTCCTCCAAACCTGTCGCCAAATTGACAAACAAGTCACGCATCTCCTCAGCTTGCAGATATTTCTCACCAATCGCATACGCGCGTTCCCACTTACCGTGACGATTGAGCAGCTCGATGGCCTCCTTATACATGTTAGCGCGTACGAGCAGATCTTCAGCGCCATCGACATCGCCAGCAAAGGCCAAATGCTTGGATAAATCTAACGCATAGCGTTGAATTTCGGTTGGTTCGTCGAGCACCTTAGCAATTTGCACCGCTTTCCGCCATTGCTTGGCGCCGACAGCAGCTTCGAGTGCCTTTTGTGTGGCACCAGCTTCGATGTAGTGATTGATGGAAGCGTCCAACTGTTTGCGTGCCACCAACCAATCGCCCCATTCCTCCTCAAGGCTGGTTACATCATCTGGTGCAACTTCACGCGCTAAATCCAGAGCTCGTGCATAAGTACCACCTTTGCGATACAAGCCGAGGGCTGCTTCGGGACGTGCGAGTTTCAGTGCAATGTCGCCAGCCATCTCGTAGAGTTCTGAGCATGTTTCATGTAACATTTTGTGGGTAAGGTAACAAAAAAAAAAAATTGTTAAAGTAGAAAGATACAATTGCGAAAGTGAGAGATCAGTCCAAAAAGATCAATAGATCTAAATTTAAGAAGCCAAACCCTGCACTGGACTCTCTCTAGTTTACTTATCAAATAGTGATCTCGTATCTTTGATAACTTACCACAATTCACCAGACCTTCTGTGATTTTTAGCATCAATTGTTGATCGTCCATAAGATGTGGAGTTTTCATGGCCAAGCGCGCCGCACGCGCGGGCTTGCTAGCCTTCAAATATAGATTTAAGGCCTTCTCTGGCTCCTCTTGTTCTTCCAACACTTGTCCGGCTTTCTCTTCCTGCCCGGTAGATAAAAGAAACTCCATTTGTTGTTCTTTCAAAAGCTGTAGACCACCGTAACCGCGGCGTTCAGCCAAGCTGACCGCCTCATCCCACATACGCAGTTTCTTATACATTTCCAAAGCCGCCTCGATGTCGCCTTGCTCTAGATAAATACGCTCCGCTGTGCGTAGATCGGAACTCAAGAGCGCAAGTTTAGCGCGCACCTGCGGACACATAATACCTGGTGTGCCCGTAGATTCCTCAAATTTATCAGCCTCTTCTATCATTTCATTTAAATAGTATGCCTTTGAGACATTACCCAGTGCGGCGTAGCAACGTTGCGCCACCCGGAGATTGCCATCTTCAATCGAAATGACTGCTAGATTGTGCCACATGGCTTTGGCAGCGGGTTTGTCGCCTAGCGTCTCTAGAAAATGTATAGCGCGTCCAAAGTCACTATCGTTTACGGCGGTGCCGAACTCAACCAAACCTTCGTCCAGTTGATAAGTGTGCTCTGCCGGTCCCTCCTGCGAGCGTACCATCGTACGACCCTGATTTTTTGTAAGGAAATTGTAAGGTCGTGCTGAGTTAAAGAACTATACTTTGTACAAACCGAGTCGCGTGACACTTCCATAACATCTCCTCTGATAGCCATTAGGGTTACATGTTCGGGTAAGTCTATATTATACCAGATAGCTAAGTTGTTATTGTTTTGTGCTACAACAACGTCACTTTGTGGCACCCATTGAACAAATGAGATGTTCGAGAGCAAAGTTTGCTTCTTGCCGGTGTATATGTCGATCAAGACTAATCTAAAGTGTGCAGCTAGGCAATTTAAGGCAAATCTTTAAAGTTTACATGCCAAATACCTGAGTTTCTTATCGCGAAAGAGCAGTTTATGAGCCGTCTCACTCAGTTCGATCCAATCGATTTTCGTCTCGTGATTCACCTGTCCAATAATAACTTGGTTTATTAGGTCCACTATGCATATGGTTTTGGCGTCGAGGAGGAACGCCAGTTTTTTGTTATTCCTAGAAGTTTAAGAGTCATGTCTTCATATTTAGAATTTCATTTTTAATATAAATCGAGCTTACTTTGTGTTGCCACGCTCATTCAAGCGCACCGAGATAACATGTGGATTCACAAACTCTGTGCGCACAGAACCCAAGATCGTATTTTCACCATACTCGACAAGACTAAGTTCGCCCACATTGAAAATCAAACAAACATTCGGGTTTTCAAAATAGAAACGTTCGTGCCGACCCGACGTGGTCCATGGCACTTCGCTGACCAGATTGCGTGTGAGATCACACAAGATCATAGAGTCTTCCGTACGTGCTACCAAGTAATTATCTTTACCCATTATGCGTACATCGTCGATTTCCAGTCCGAGCTGGGATTCAATAGTCATCTGTTCGGCCGGGTCTTGCAGCGACTTCACTAACAGTTGACTGGGCGCGACGAAAATCAATTCAAATTTGTCTTGCCAAATGGTGCGCTTCAGCACCGATTCAAAGAGTATAACGGCACCGGTCACTGAGGCGATTGCCAAGCTTCAGAAAAAGCCAAGACAGAAAAATAAAATTTAAAGAATCCATTTTTGCAACAGACTCACCGAGCGCCATCACGACGCCATTGCACACAGGTTACCGTATAGAAATGATTTATCTCTTTCGTTGCGCTCTCATTCCAATCGGCTAAACGTGGACTCCATGTGAATATGCGTATCTTGTCATAGCTCCCAAATGCTACAGCCTGACCGTTGGGACTTGCGGCGGCAACAGTGATCTCACGATCGTTACGCGAATAATCGAAACTGCGTACCGGACGTCCCTGTGCGTAGACACGAGTTATGTTATAACAATTTTGTCAGCTGCCTCGAAAAGCTTACCACTGTGTCGTAGAATATGATTTTCTGATCACAACCGCCAGCGCAGAAGCCCCCCTGCGGCCAAGCCAAAGCAAATGGCGGCACTGGATGTTGTACTAAACGTCCCGACGACTCATTCGCATCTTCGGTGATGAAAAAACGTATTATTGTGCCATCATTGTGCCCAGACAGAAAGCCTGTGCCTTTGGTGTTGGACGCCAATGATATGCAGATGCTATCGGCAGCGTATAAACTCTGCGACTTATTACTTTTGCAATGGAGCGCACGTACTTTGCCATCGTCGAGTCCTAGGAAGATGCAAAACTTAAGGTTTTGTTGTGTATTGAACTATATAGATATCCTTATTAAGAGATCATACTTAGAAGAAAGACTTAGGTGAAATTGATTAAATAATTTCTAACGTCTTGATGCAGTTTTCGGTTGTTCCTGAATAAAAGCTACGTTTAGTCGTCCGTTTTTGCTGACTTTAATATGGAATTATGTTGATTAAAGCTCGCTATACAATAGCAATACGGCCTTACAACCCTGATTATTGATTCGAAATCTGGCTCGAGGAGGTAAGATTTGATTATAAGGGATCAAGTGGGATTCTTTCATCAAACTTCCTGAATTTATAAAAAAAATGTGTATAAATATGTTCAAGGGGTTTCTCCGTCACAAGAATTAAGACTTGAACATTGATCATGCGATATCTTGAGTCCTTAAAAAACGGAGCCAAAAAGTCATACTGAAAATAAACTTGTCAGGTGGTACCTTTGAGATCTTCTGGTCTCTAGAACTCACTCGTCCATTTCTAATATATTAATTTTCGTCCCCCTTCTCTCTAACCTTTAAGTCAAAGTCACTAGGCTTTCCAGCAGAAGAAGTCACTGTATTTTACATACTGACAAATGCGTAAATATATATATATTCGAAATTCATGGCGCTGGTGCCGAAAAGAAGGAAGAAACCAAAAGGGAAGAGTCGGAGTTCGAGGAAGACGACGACATAGGTTTCGGTCTCTTCGACTAAAAAACTCATTATTAAAGTATATAAATAAATGATATCACCTGCAATGATAGCGCCTGTGGACAACCAAATTAAAGCGGTGACCGCACTCGCTTGTGGAAATTTATTGCAAATCACTTTCTTATCATTCCACGACTCGCCCAACTTGTACACATAGACGATGTTATCACTCTGTCCCACGGCCAGCTTGGTGGAGTCCGGACTGAAGGCGACACCGCGTATAACATAAGAGTTTTTGCCGTTCGCCGGATTCGAGGGTTTCGTTGAGAATTTATCGCGTCGCTCACCGGCATCGTCGAAGAGCAGTATGTGACGGTCCGCAGTGGCGATGGCCAGCTTTTGATGATTCGGTGACCACGCCAGACCAGCAATGCGATTTAGTTGCTCCTAGGGGTATGCAATACAGTCTTTGCGCGACAAAATATATAATATGTGAATATAGAACTCCGAACTCACCTGCCCGTCTAGCAGAGTTCTCAAATATTTTAACTGCATTTTTAATGAAAATTTAATAGGTTAAATATATTTGATTTCGATTCTTATGGACTTCGTTGTGCAATTTGTGAAAAATTTTTCAAATTGCTTTTTCTGTTGTGGTAACATTTGCCTTGACAGCGCTGGTGCCGTTGCTAGGGAGCTGCTAGCTTTAGTTATGTAGAACCCTTGCAGTTAAAATACACAACAAGTGGTTGTTGTCTGTGTAACGGTAACAAGTGGGTGTAAACTAAGGGTTGATTTTTTGTTTTGTTCCGGCTTTCTTTTTCTAAATTTTTTTGGTATTGTTTATTTATTTCTAAAAGTATACTATACTTTCACTACGCCACCACTTCCAACAGGTGTTCTAGCCCGGTTATAATGTTCAACAGGTCTTTTTAATGCTTCAAACTCGTATCAGCTGTTCGCCTAATGCTCGGTTAAGGTCACGAATTCAGTTGATTAACTCGTCTTACTGGTTTTCAAACTTGTTTTTATGGTGTAGCTATCTGTTGGCACTGTTTCGAAGTGTAATGATAATCATTTTCAAACCAAATTGACCTTCGAAGACTGTAATCCTAATAAGTTCAACTCTAATGAGGTAGGCGAAACTAATTTTAAGTCTTCTGTGATTTGAGAAACCCATGATTTCTGATTATGGGTTGCTGAGGAACTGGGCTATGATGGCTGCACGACGTGCAGTATCCACAGTTTGGCGACCATATCGTTATCTAGAGATGGAAGTCCTCATAACTTTCTGAACTCACGAATTCTATCTTGTTTTAATTTTTTAGTTTGTTAGGTACTATATTGGTCCGATATTAAAAATTTGTTCGGAGACTGTTTGCCTTGGAAAGTAATCTACTTAAAAGTTTATGCGTCTTCCCTAGCAGCTCTCTCATGATGCACACTGATCAATTGATGGTTTTAAGATCAAATACCTTTAGTAACGGGTGATCCAAGTAGAGGTTCTTCTTTCAATAGCCTTTTTTTGACAGATCATGCATGACATGTTGTCATGTTATTTTTGTTAAGATAATATGCGAAAAATAAATACTAAATAATGTTGTTTCTAGTAATAATAAGAAGTTTCTGTATTTTTTCTTTAAAAAAGTGGGAACATCGAAATGTATCACCGTTTATATTGCACAATCTTTTATCTGGTCTCATAATAAACATAACAAGATATATTTTATCATACCTTTCCGAATCCAACCTTCCAGAAAACATAGGTTTCTAAGCGCTCTAACCTCAGCACCATCCAGCTTGTGTTTGACTTTGAGCATATTGTTTTCTGAAATGGAGTGTGTCTATGATATTTGTATCCAGTTTTGTGTCAACGGCATCTAGTGTGTGTATTAAATATTTATCTTATCTCTTTACCACTTCGGTTTGTGTATCAGATTTTTGCATTTCAGAACTTTGCGCTACCTAACGAATTTTTGTACAATGTGCATACTTTAGTAAAATATTATAAATATGTGTTTTTATTTCGACTGGTAGTGCTAATGGAAAATGTTGTAATATTTTTCTAAGAAATCTGAATTATTGTTGAAGAAAGTTTAATTTTGTAATATCTCAAATAAAATCTTTGAGACTTCTACTTAAAAACAACGCATTAACGAACATATTAATGGCCCCCTTATAGAGAAACTTTATAAATATTTTCAAAAAAGTATGTATGTCTTATAATGCTTTTATAACCCTACTGGTTTCGTCACAAGAGCTTATGAGACATCTATGAGAACGAATAATCCCTATATAATTTCTGTTATAATTAATTTATTTCCTGAAGATTATCCGTTAGATGTCGCTCAACACAAGTCGTCGAAAAGTTACACCTATTTTAATACTTTTTTTCTAAAGAACGGATAAGAATAAGTGTTATAACGAAGGGAAATTCGTCCAGGAAATATGAAGTTCAGTTGAACCCTGTGTATGTGTTGGGGGTGTGACCTTAATATCAAATGGTTTGTGTATGCGGTGCATGTGGTTGTTCGCCAAAATGTATGCCTTGGCTGCAGTAAAGTTCGTGATTATGAAGCAAGAACTTTTCATGGAAATTGAGAATCCAGAGGACAGCCGATTAAGCTTACCAACGCTAAAGGGAGCTTAGATTTCAGTTGTTTGACTAAGAAATTGTATAAGTATACAAAACCATTTAAGAGACTGAAGTCGATTATAGAAAAACGTATACTGAGACAGAATACAGGGTATGAAGAAACATCTTCTACTTCGCGGTTGTACAGAAGCTATAATAATCTTCACAAGTAAAAAAGTCAATACAAGAGTTTGTTTTTTTATCGTGTAGATTGTATGACAGACATATGGTATAGTTTTTCGATATCGGCGCGTTCGAGAAATGGACAGCTTTTTGGGGAAAGAAGTATGGCTGCAAAATTTCATATCAATATCTAAAAACCTGAGGGATCAGTTCGCATATATACAGACGGTTAGACGGAATAGTAATCATTTACCACTAAAATCGTTTTGTATATAATCTTGAAAATTCCGAGCTGACGCTCTGAGTAAAAATACATATGTATGTATGTATATGTAAGTGTCCATTTGATCAAATTTGAACCAGACTGGTCAAACAAAAAAAGAATCGCACTTAAGCCATCATTTTAATAATAAAAATCTTTATTATATTTATAATATTAACTAATATATTAGGTTAGATGGCTGATCTGCCAGCAAGGTGGGATATCACACTTAGAGTAGAGATTCCTTTGTGAAGTCATACTGAAAGCTCTTATAGTTGGATATCAGCTATCTATCAACAAACACGTCCTGAACCTATAATATAATAAATCTGCATAGGTGTTTTATTTCTGTTTCCGCTATTTCAGCTGGCTAAAATTATGAAATCCAAGATATTTCTACTTTGATCTGGCAAAAGCGGGAAATTCGAGGAGAAAGTATTGAGGTGATTCTTCCTCACCTACTAGATAATGTAAATATTCGGCATCCGTTCAGAAGTACAGTCTTACTGCATGAATCCCGATCGGACTGTGTCCAGTTAGAGCTCCTAAAACCATTGAAAGAAATCCTACAATCATTGAAAGGAACCTTGCTGAGATCAAAGAGTATACCTTATACTCTTTACGCTGGGTCAGAAGAATCTTGCAACTGTACAGCTGCTGTTACTTGACCAACCTTTGCTTAGCTGGTCTGAGACCTAACAGACCAGCAATGAACTACAAGAAGCCAACCGATCGCCTACCTGAAAGCATTTCCAGTTATCATCAGCCTTACAGTTTCCAGCAATACCACTATAGCATCCTAACCAGTAGAGATCTTTTCCTCAGGTCGCAAGAGCTCAAAGCTCATTTTATTTTACACTAACTATTAACAAGCATTGGAAGATGAAGCCATGTGTAGAAGTTCACGGAAGTAAAGAAAATGCTGTGAGCGCCATTCACTTGGGTGTGACCAAAAACGATTATTTTACATATTACAGCAGCTCACAACTTCCGGCCGTAGACCGAGAATCCTCTCGGTAGCAAAAAAAAAAAAAAAAAAAAAAAAAAAAAAAAAAAAAAAAAAAAAAAAAAAAAAAAAAAAAAAAAAAAAAAAAAAAAAAAAAAAACAAAAAAAAAAGGCAGACAGAAAACAGCCTGCCATTTAACTTTATATAGATTTGTTATTAACTTTATACAGATTTGTTATAAGCCCAGGCTGTGATGACCTCCAGTAACACCAGTGTCCGCAGCGAATTTTGTGTTTTTTTGCCTTCGGCACATTTTTGGAGCGCCATTCACTGGGCTGTTGGGCAGTTGCGGCGGCATATCATTAAACAAATCTGGCGTCAACAGTAATGATGCATTTTATGAATTTAGGATCCTTTTTTTTGGGACCTCTACTCGATTTTCATGTACTGTTTCTTTAACTTAACTTTAAAATTGCGGATGGAGAACTCGCACTAGGAAAATTCCAGCCACATTTTCAACGATTCCATAACCGTTATTCCATTGGAAATTCTAAATTTCTAACAAAGTCGAAGTTTAGTTTTTATCAGTACACAAATGGTCAGACTACTCTTTGTGTCCAAACTGCACAAACTCATGAAAAAGGTTGTACCAATCTAGGAGGAAATTATTCTACAAGTAGATGAAATTTTTAGGAATGGGTTTCAAAATGACCAGTCCGGTGTTCATTAGATGATATAAATTTTTTGAAATTACAATACGGTCTCCATTTCTGAAACCTTATTGGATCCAATAATAATCAAAAATCGGCAGACTAAAGTCCATACATTTTTCAAAGTTTGGGAACAACTGCCTCAATTTAACTATTTCCCCTTCTTTCCCCACATATTCATACTTTACCACCAGTGCTTCTCCGATTTACCCACCACATCAGCTTGCTGGCTCTCAGCACACCCACGTTGAATGGCGCTCCGAAAGCTTCACAGCAAGTCGTGCAGAACCAAATCAGCTGTGCCGAGTCGACGAGTCTGCAAAACGCTTCCAACGAAACCTGCGCCAATAAACGTTACTGTGCAACCGCCAGTCAGTCAGTGACAGAGGGCATACGTAGAGCATGTTACGAAGGCGGAAGCCGCAAAAAGCATAGTTTTGAAGACAAATACGACGAAATGACGAAATGGGAGTGGTAACGACGACGACGACGACGACGACGACGACGACGACGACGGCGGCGATGACATTCCAAGTATGCATTGTGGTAGGTCAAAGGATAAACTTTCGCTACACATGACTTTTGTTGCTGTTGTAAGACAACTGCACGCATTAAACTTCGCCGTACACCAACACCAGTTTACAACAACAATTTAGCGACATTGTGAATGATGTGTGACCGAGTTTGTTGGTCGCTTTGTCGCGAAATCTCCTCCTAATGGCCATCCATTTGCTGTTGATGTTGTGAAGTTAATGCGCGCGTTGTTGTTATGGTTGTTGTTGTAGTTGTATATGCAACGTGCTTACGCACAGTTGGAGCGGTTGCTTGACACTGCTGGTGTTGTTGTTGCTGATGTTTTTGGTTTTGTTATTGTTGACGAACAATGTGTTGTTGCTGTAGTAAATACTGTTTATGTTG